GAGAGTAGACAAAGGAAACTCACACTGGAAAAGAGAAGAATTGTTAAAAAAGACTGTTGCTCATACTGTAGGCTTTTGATTGCCCTTCAAGATGGGCTACTGCCTGCGCATGAGTAGTGAATGGATGTCTGGTTTGAAGTGGAGACATTCTGCAGAGACAAATGAAAGGGTTAGGGGCTACCCTTGGGGAATTTTAGATGTGAGAAAGTAGGGCAATAATTTTAGGTCCTAGTCCATAGGAGTGGCCACTGAGGAGCTTAGGAACCACATAGCTTCTGACCACAGCTCATGAACCATGTTGTTGTCAGGTCTCTCTCTTTGAAAGATCAATCTATGAGAAGAAATTCAACTTTGAGGGAGAAATTTCAGCAAGCTCTGCTGAAAACACTCAGCAGCACACCACTGACTTCCCTGACATCAGTCCTTTGCACATGGAGCTGGTTTGGTTTGGTTTGCTTATTTCTGTCTGCTATGGGCAAACTGGAAAAGTGGCTTGAACAAGTTTGTGTCTGTATCTGAATTTAGCCAGTCTTTTGACTCCAGCTTAGAAGATGAAGGGAAGAGAAGTTTTTTTAAAAAATGTTCTCTTTCAGGTCACATCCTTCCTATCGTTTTCCCAATTTCACACATTCATTAAAAGGAGAAATGTACTCATGCAGAAAACAAACCAAGCCCTCCAAGTGAGAACATATAGCAATTTCATTCAAAAATGCTTCTTTTAAAGCAGAGTCTATAAAAACCACACCAAGAGAATACTGTACTCTGTGGTCATTTGTTAGTAAAGCTGACAGGAAATCAAAACTGAAAGGATTCTTCTGTAACTGCCAACTTGCTGTAATGGAAGCCAGGGGAAATATATTTATCTGTTTACTTGACTAAGAAGAAAGAAACCAAAACATATTTTCCTCCAATAGTAAAAGGAGATTAGGCTGTTAATAGTCACTTGTGTGCTAGACTTCCCTCCAGGCCTTTCCTAATGTTTTGTCTTACATTCAAAACAAATAAAATATGAGCTCTGAGGAAAGGAAAATATTTCACAGAATATAGACTCTAAAAAAATCTTTATGTACCTAAAATTTCACCTTATAGCCTACAGGATATTGCCCAGTACTACACATCATTGAGAACTATAATTTTGTAGACTTTTTTTGCACAACAGAGATTTCGGGCCTGTCATCTGGCACAAAATTGCATCTGCAAAGGAGCACAGACTATTTAAAGTACGACACACTAGGCTTGGTTTTCCCTCCAAAATTAATTTTTCTTCAATTGAAATAAATAACATGAAATAGAATGGACCTGATTCTGCCACCTTGGTTAAGACTTGATGATATTAAAGGTCTTTTCCAACCTAAACAATTCTATGATTCTATGATTCTGTGATTCTTGTAATAGATGATAGGTCAGTTGAATCATACAGGATGGACACTACTACCAATCTGAAACTTAATGTGATCTCTGTAGTTAGGATCTCAGTAAGAAACGGTTTCATGATGATGTGAAGGATAAAAGTAGTCTGAAATATTCCAAGGTCCTGCTCAGCACTGGATTTTGTTATTGCTACGTAGCTCTGATGATACAGGGCTGCCATAAATGTCTTCAATTAATGTATTTACAGAGCTTTTCCACTGCCACGTAGCAGTCAAAACCAGATGGCAAATTTTGTCAAAGATATTTCATTTGATTAATTCTTCTGTCTGGGCAGATGCACTGCAGTCTGTCAAACCATGAAGATAACTAAAAAATTAAGATGTCTTTCCTAGAAACTGATAGTTGGGTAAAGCTTTGGTAGCTGGAAGAATGCAAGAATAAAATGGATTTTTTTCCTAAAGATGGATGTAAATCTTAACATAACTGTTTTTAGGGAGAGTACATGAGAGGAAGCAGTCAGTTTATAGTGTGCAAGACAGTTGAACCAGATTAACAACACAATAGGTTTTGCCCAGTTTTAAAAATCCACAGCAGGAACCATCATATCTGTAGCAAGAGATGAATCTGTACATGTTACCACCAAATATCACATCATGTTTTGCTGTGGTTTTGTATGCTTTCCAAACTCTATCATAATGTTCGAAGTGCTGAGAAAGGATCTCTTGCATAGACATTATTCCTAAACACTGAATGTACTCTATAGAAATTCAGCAAGAATAGCTAAACTGTCATTTATGACTTATTTAGCACCTTAATAGGAACATTAATAGATTATGCTGTAACAAAGCACTTAGGTCCTCACTTGGAGCCATAATTAAACATATGTTTAACTTCAAGTATAAACTTAAGACCCACTGACAAGTGCCTGCCTTTGAAGATGCAAATAATCCAGTGAATTTATAAAGCTTTGTGACTTTGGCTGAATGTGGGCAAGGATTCCAATTAGGGATGGGACTTGTTTATACAGTGCCTAAGACAGGAACACTATAAACATAAAAAAGACTTCTAAAACTGACATTAAAAATGTTAGTGGCTCCCTTTAATTCCTCTTCTCTTTTCAAAATAACAGCTTAAAATGACACTTAAAGACTCAACAATGGAAACTATATTGGAGAAACACATTGAAATTTATTTCTACTTTAACCAGAGTTTGTGTGACTCCTGCGAAAATAGATGTGGTGGTGTGGTTTAGTCTTTAGGGTCTTATTAGATGCCTTATTACATGTCTTCGTGTAGTTGAAAGATAATGCAGAGAACATTTTAATATGGTTGCATTTTAATGGCATTCATTCCAATTACTTCAGAGTCTGTGGGGAGCACCTATAACTGGCCTGTGCTCTGGAGCTGAATTTAGATTTTATATCTCTGCAGCATCTATATTACTTGTCTAGACACATCTCTTAGGATTCAGAATTACAAATGACAGATTGTATACCAGGCCTGACATTTATGTGATTGAATTAGAGATATATTTATAACATGATGATAACTATATCTGATACGTGCTTCATCTATGATCAGAATGAAGACCAAAACATTCACATGTGGCAGGGTCAACACCCCTTTATGATTACGTTAGAGAATAAAAGTATAGCTGTACATGGGTAAAAGCATCAGATCTTGACTTTCCAAACTTGTTTTCTATACATTAGACTCATGTCTATCCTCAGAAGGAATTCTGAAGATTTAAAAAGACTTGAAAAGTACTCTTGAAAAAATGTACTACAAATAGCTAAGTCATGTGAATTATTTGATCAAGCCAATTGAATTATATTCAAGAAGTTATGCTAAGGCATTTAGTGAAGCTCAATTCCACATTTCTACAAACAAGGCAATTGCTTTGAGATTAGCGTGAAAGATTTGTGCATTAAAACCAAATGTTGATGACACGTGAGGATTCACATGGAAGAACTTGAGGATATGCTCCTCTCTAGAGAAAGAAAAAGTTCTTAAATAGTTATTTGTGATCAATATATATATCAATTTTATCAGTATTAAGAATTTATTTCTTTTAATCACTAAACTAGAATTTGATTTGTATTCAGTTCTTGTCTCTGCCTCTCGCTTGTCAAGAGTCAATTTATCTTTGACTGTCTGTTGAGATCCTGAGTGCACTGAGGGGCCTTAATGTCCCTGCCTGTTCCTGGGGCTCCCCCTGTCCTGCCCATAGCCCAGAATACCACTCCAGTCCCTAGAACTGTCACTCCTTGCCCTAGGGAGGCTGTAGGACACTATCACCACCTGTCTTGGCCCATCCCAATATCAGGCTCATTCCCAAGGAGGTACCTGATGCCCAGGGCTAGGGTTGCCCTGTCTGCCCTGCTGCCTGCCCTACTACTCCAGGGAGACCCTGACACACCTGAACCCTGGCCCAGGGAACCACCAGTCCTCCCAGCACCATGATAACATGGATTCTTTATTTTCTAATGATTGTAATAGCTTTTTTTCATTATTGTTATGCCATTTCTTGTTACAAAATCAAGAAAACTCCTGATGCTCCTTTCTGCTGTAGTCTAGGTCTTGTGCCTGTGGAGTGTGAACCTGGATAATTCTGTTTGATATGAAACAACCTCCATATCCTTCCCCTGTTCAGTAATTTAACTTTTCAAATTCATTTTTTTCAACTAAAAATTATTAACTTCTGAGGCACAGACTTTGTTTCAAAATGTAAATCAAAGACTGCTCATTAGAAAGTGTGGGGGGAAAACAAGTTGCTTATACCTTACTAAATAGAAAGCTTCATTTTAGAAATGTTCCCCTTTTACAGATATCTTTATTCTTAACTCAGGCATAATTTAAACTAATTCTAATAAAAACACTTCCTTTGTTGGTGCCACAACCCACTGGTAGGGGGTGTGATGTTCATTATAAGTTCTCATCAGGCTGAACAAAGATACCGGACACGTGTCAGAGAACCCTTATGCTTTATTACTCAGTCGCCATGACCCCAGCAATCAACCCACTCTTTAGACTGAAAAGGTGTTAGTTAACCAGCCCTTAAATTCTTACAACACACTTCCACAAGAGTGGAGGCAACAAGCCTTTAATTAAATACACTTCAGTAAGTTCTCAGCTGCCACAATAAACTCTTCAAAAGTTGCTGGCTCACAAGCCACAACACACCAATATTCCAGAGTGCTGGCTAAGAAGCCACAACACCCAGCCACAATCTCCCCACTCCCACAGTGAAGTCCACTATGAGGTATGGGGTAGAGTGTGCTAGCTGTGCTTTGCCCAGGCAAGGCAAGGGAAGAAAACAAAGAATATCACCAGTCCTTAGATCCCATATCAGTCCTGCTGCATGGACAGTCAGGAGTCAGGGTTGTGAGAACAAAGAAAGCCAAAGAGAGGAAAAAGAGAAAGAGACCCAGAGTAAAGAGAGAGAAAAAGAGAGCAAGGGGGCGCGATCTGCTCCCTTTTATAGCTAACCTGGCGCATACCTCTCATGTAAATTAGACTTTTCACATGTTTTGCTCACACATGCACAGCCAGCCCTTCCCCAGGAAGTGGGTTGGGGGTGGGAGGGGACCGAGCATGAGTCTCAAGGAGGAGCAGGAAGTTGGCTCAGAACAGCACTACCCCACCTCCATGGGACCCTGTCCTCCAACCACACCTTTCCCGTAGCAATACTCAATGTTTGAGACAAATCGTGCTTAGGTCTGATGTGCTGCAGTTGGATATCAGTTGAGTTGAGTTCAACGACACTGCAGATCTGAGTAATGCTTCAAAGTGCTCTACAAGATGCTGTTGGTTCCTCCTGAGTCCGCACGAGACCGTAGAAAGGTAATTAGCAGATATTTGCCTTCCATTTACAAAAGAAGACATAGGTGAATGCATGCTTCTAAGATTTGTAAGGTTTTAGTTACTCCTAGCTACTTACATCAAAAATTTTGACTAGAGCATGAGAAACACGAGAAAACTGGGACAGTTTTCGAAGGCAGCAGACCTGAACATAAGGACCCCAAAATCCCTTATGTGTGTAAAAACACAATAAGCTTTGCCTTTGTGTTTGTCTATATTTCCTGAAGAAAATTTTACAAATTTGATATTTATTGACTAGATGTGATTGTTTTGCATTTAACTGGAATGAACTGCATATTACAGTTGCTGGTATAAATATATGGGGAGAAAAAAAAAAATTTACCCTTTCTCCAGCTTAGAGATTGCCAGGCATGAAGGTAATGATTTTAAAGCATCTTTAAAATCAAAGGAAATGTACTATGACTTGCTTTATTTTATATTCTTTATTCTTTCTCTTTGAAAGTGACTACAGATCCATCTATTTGGTATTAATGTTAAAAATTATGGTAGATATTTCAGGATCCTGTAGATTTTTAATTTCACATCAGGCTATTTTTGCACAGTGATTTTCAGAATAATTTCCGTGTTGTTGAATTAACTAAACATGATGGTAGCTGTATCCACCCGAAGATGAAATGCACACATTTTTTACAGCCATTATGTACAAAAGTTTGGTACTTGAAGTAATATATCCAAGCTGAATTGAAAGCGTAAGGGAAATTTTAAAGAGGTAGAATGCAACTAACATTGAAAGTTGGCAAAGATGTTATACAGTTTAACACAAGCTGTTCCTCTCTAATATCATAGTGACAGTTTCATATAAATGACATTTCGTGAGTAATAAAATGACAAATACATCATTAAAATTAGAGACAGATTGCTAAATGGATTAGACTGCAAGTATCTTAGTTTTTTTCTTTATTCTTCCACATGCATATTTCATCTTGCTGAAAAACTGTATACCAGTGTTGTTCATATTGCCAGATCTTAAAATGAGTTTTAAAATTCATTCAGTTCTACCATGCAACAGCTCTTTGAAGAGAGGAAATTCAGCACTATTTTTTTTAGTATCCTTGAACAAACCACTCCCAAGATTTTAGATGTATGAAGTGCCAGGCACATGTAGGGCCTTGTACATGTATAAAGTAATTGCAGAACAATGAATGGCCTCTCTTTTTACATGATTTTTCAAATATAAAATCTACTTGAAGGCTCGGATTAGAGTATCAAAGACTGTTATAAAGTTTGGTCTCTGATTATGTAACTTTTGGGGTCTAGAAAAGGAAAAAGTCAAACCACATTCATGCAGGCAAATAGTATAAAAGATAAAAGCAAAAATGCAAACAAAATAGATTCCCATCATAAAGAGGTTAAGAGACTGGTAAAACACATTATTAAAAAAACTGATTACAAAGCTATCTAGAAGGACATCTAATATAAGGAGAGGTACACACAGTTTTATAACAGGCTGTCAGAATCCTACAGAAAAAAACACAGTTTTCTTTTGGGCTCATTAGGATTATCTGGTGTAAGGAATAATATTGATTACAGAATAATTTAGGAGCAGTTTCCTAGTCTTATTTAAACTTTCCAGGAGTCTACTGATTTTAGAGTCTGTTTTCGTATATTGTTGAATTGTAGACTTGAGTGACTTGGCGAGCATGGCTACAGTATGCCTGTAACCCATGTAATTGCAATAAACAAGATGATGTTCTGCTAACAAAGGAAATAAGGAAGTTTGACTTCCTGTGCATGTGTCTCCCTCAAATATCTTTCTATGTGGTAACACCACATCTGTCTCACTGTACAACAGGGAGCAGTTATGAGAGCGGTCCAGAGACCTGTGTGTGCTGAAACTGAATTGTTTTGGAGACTCCTGCTCTTCCTTGAGTGAATTTGATCAGAAGATTCAAAAGTTTTTAGAGAAAGACAGACCAGCAGATACCTGAACAGTGGGGTGTTGACAATAAGCCAGCAATGCACCATCACAGCAAAGCAGATCAACAACCTCTAGTACTGCAGGAACACAAACATGTCAGGTCTTGGAGCATCTCACATATGAGAAGAAGCTGAGGGAGCTGGGACTGTGCAGCCTGGGGTAGAAATGGGCCACAGAGAATCTTATCAGTGAGTATGGGAGAATGTAAAGAAGATGGAAGCAGAGACTTTTGAGTGGTGGGACAAGAGGCAATGGGCATAAACTGAAATAAAAGGAATTACATTTGAAGATAAGAAAAACCCCCACACATTTGTTGCCCAGAGGTGTTATGGAGTTTGCACCCTTGAAGATACTCAAAAGTCACCTTTGAGTGACTTTGAGTCACCTGGGCAGGATTTTGAGCAACCAGCTGTAGGTGACACTGCTTTGAGAGGAGGAGCTGACAAGATGAACTCCTGAAGTCCCTTAAAATCTCAACCATTATGCGATCCTGTGATCCTCTTTCCTTGGGAAGCTCATCTAAGCATGCATATATGAAATCATCAAAATATCTGTGCAGCTGGTTCTTTTTTATTCATTCTCATGGAAAAAGTAGTTTTGCTTACTGTGCTTACTCCTCACATATCATGTAAACCCCACTATTTGTAGAATACACAGAGAGAACATTTGAATGGAAAAAGCTTGTCAGAAAACCCTAGATTTGTTAGAAGTGCCATACGTTTATCTGTCAATGATTTGTTAACAAAAATCTTCTTTTGAGAACACTAAAATATCTTTTGCTGGCAAAACCAATGGCCATCTTATCAGACAACCTTCTTAACAGTGTTCCAGTGGAAAAAAGCAGTGAGTCATTTTAGTACTATTGAGCACAAGAGAAAGGAAGCAATTTTTTTCTTTACTCATTCTCCAACAAAACCTGCAGAGTTTATAAATTCTGATGGTAATGGCAGCCTGTAGGAGTAATCTTAACTCACTTTAAAACTGTTTAATTCTTCTACGAATTTGCTAACTATTAAAAAGGAAGTGAAGATTCCACCAAATTGACCATTAGGAGGTATGTACATCTGGTACAAACCAGGGCTATTAGTCACTTGGTAGTTTCCACTTTTTGTTAATGGACTGTGGAAATGAAAAATTGGTAGACTTGGCCAAGATATAGTGTTTATAGTAATCTTCAGAACTGTGTAGGTCTTGGATCTAACTGTACAAAACTGTCTTTATGCCAAGGCACAAGTGAGAGAAACTGCAGGGCCTAATCATGGAAGGTACTGAATGACTGGTGAGGGACTAAGGGCCCTTGGCTTTAGCTAAAGCAAAAAGCAAATCAGAAGGAGGACCCCACTCTGTGAAATAATCTTCTGATTAAGCGTGTGCTATTTTCTCCTCTCCTGAAATGAGTGTCTGCACATTAACATCTGTAAATGTCAGGCAAGTGATCTGCTGTATTGAGCAGTCTCATTTTAAATCTGTCTAATGCATGCCCTGTCTTAGTAAAGATACAGATGCTTTCTGTGGTCCTATAAAAATGTGCATTTTAATGATGAATGGGACAGTTTATAGTTCCAATTACTCTTGTCTCCTTTGAAGAAGGAAAACTGGCAAGCCCTTATCTAGACTTTAGCAGGTTGAGATAAACCTTGATAGCAAAAAGTATCTGGATTGTCAGAGCTTTTAGCTATAGTAAACTACTTAAACTGAAAGCAGCTGTTAGTCAGAAAAGAACAATACCTATTCATTTGTAAGATGTTCTGTACTATTAATGAGCTTTTTCTTCAGATGAGACTATTGTAAAAAATCTAAATTACACACGCAGACACTCATCTGTACAAACATGCACACACTGATATAAAATGTAGTGTTTGAAGAAGTCTTGTTTGGCTAATACACAGTAGTCATTTGGAAGAAATAATCCATGGAGATCACTGTGTTCAGAAAACTATGGTTTATTTCCAACTGTATAGCAGTGAAATTTCATTCACAGTTATGAAAATGTTATTGTTGCCTCTACAGATCATTTAATGTCTGGAACGGTAAAATTATCCTCACTGAGAAGCACTATTCTGTCTGCTTCTTATTTTATCCTAAATATATTGAAATAACATGGACAGTACAGTCTTCTATCATGTCTTCTGAATCATGACCAATGTATTTCATTGTACTATATAAGACAATTATTCTGACTCTCTCTGGGTTTTGTACTATTTTTCTGCCGAGCTTCTATAAAGATTTCTGGTGTAAATTTAAGTCTGTGTTTTAGTTAATATGACAAACAGGAAAAGATACTAATTCAATTTGTAGTGTATCTTCAGTGTGCTCACTTTGTTTATAAAACAGTGTTCACCAGTCTTAGAATTCTGTGTGGACCTGTTTGGTCAAGAATGAAGCCTCCTGTAGCTTTCATATATCATATATTCATATATCCTGTAGCTTTCATATATCATATATTCATATATTCCCCAGTTCTCTTTAAATGTCTATATTATGTACAGAGTTTCCCAGACCAATCTCCTGATAGTATGAACAACCAAACCTACAAGACCAAACCTATAGCTGACAAAGAGTGACAACAGTACATATGATTTCCAAGGTGTAAAAATTTACACCAGTTAAAAAAATCCCTTCTGAGTGCAAAAGTCTGACTTCTGCTTGATTTTTCTCTGGTTTCTCTGCAAAATTAACTTCTGTGCAAAATTCAACTCTCAATCAGCTTTGTGGGATTACAGCACATTTTCCCTTGAAAATTATTTTAGACACTCGTGACACTCAGCCCCTGTTCAGGCTGTATTTCCAACACCCTACACTAATATTTGACTTTGCAATGATAGGGTAATGTCAGTACTTCTTTCTGGGATTTATATATTAGTTCACTATTGGCTATGAGACAGGGGTGACAATCTAGTGAGAAAGATTAGGTTGGCAAAAGAAAGGGTTTGTGTTATTATAGGTAATCTCCCCACAGTTTATCCACATACATCTGCCAATGGGTCACCATAACTACGCAGAAGCACAATTTTCCTTCTGATTCATTTCTGCAATGGCATCAATACCTAGATGAAGTTTGAATCCCTGTACTAAACTCTGAAATTGAATCCTAAAGAAGTGATTTCTTCTAACAGAGAGAGGGGAATTGGCAGCTGATGGGAGGCTGAGGATTAACCTTAACCTTTTCCTCATATTTTTGCATAAAATCTGACTTGCCTAGTTTTTTTCCAGACAGATTTTCCCATTTCCATATGCATGTGCTTATTCTTGACATGACATTGCTTATGCTGAGTCTTGGCAAGTGGATCAGAATTGTGGAACTTTCCTCCCAGACAAGGGCCTTGAGCCTCTCCTGTGAACCAAAGACCTGGGTTCCTTCTTCCAGGATTTCCTGTGTAATACTATAATAGGGTGGTGTCTAGATTAGTCAGTTTAGGGCCTGGTTCCTTTCCAGTTTGAAATGACTGGCCCCAGCAAAGGGAAGAAAGATTATCTGATCTTCCCTAATGCAGCTGCATGGATCCCTTGAACAGATTTGAAAAGAAATAAACACGTCTGAGATCTACAAATGGAGTTCCAGGCTACAGAAATCAAATGTCCGCTGTGTGACCTGTAACTTAGGAACCACCAGAGAATAGTCCAGTCCAAGGTACCTGCCTACCTTTTTCCATTGAGAATACAGTAAGGTAATAGGAAATATTCATCTCCATTCACCTGGAATGCACCCTACTGATTTCCTCTGAGCAGAAATTGAAATATCCAAATCTAAAAAACAAGTAAGACTTCATATGTTCAGGACTTCAGGCTCTGCTCAGGATACAATCTGATACCCAACAGAGTGTTTCCCTCACTGAGACCATGGTCTGCTGACCTGAATCACTTTTCAGGCACTGAGCTAGACCAGTCAATGAGGATAATTACCTAATCTAAATGCAGGTATCTGTCCACCATCAAAATTGGCTTCAATTATGACACCATAAAACTTTCCAGGTTTCTCCAGAACATTTAGACAGATTTGTAGTGGGTTTGCTCATAAACTGGGCTGCAACAGAGCTTTAGCTGGTATTTAAAAGACTGCCATGTCATCAGAAGTACTTGTGATCAATCTGAGATTAATTTACAAAACAGATTATGCTGTTCTGGAAGATAGTTCTACTCTTTTGGATGTGGTATGTTCTAGAGATCTAAGTCCCAACTGATATGGGATTAACAGCACTAGGATTTCATCTGCTTTTGGTTTGTCCTGTATTTCGAGCACCAGATAGAATTATGGTGTTTATGTGGAAGAGGGAATATAACTGCTTCTTCTATCCTTCTCCACCAGAATATTGTTGATGGCTGATACAACAACTCTAGTTAGTTAGGTGCAGATGATGAGTACAGGTGCATCAAACCATGCTACTGAGCAAAACTGAGATTTCTGGGTTTTATACTTTCCCTAAGTCAATGAAATTATTTATTTCACTCTGTGCCACACTTCTCCACTTGCCAATGAAGTAAGGCATCCTTGTGTATTAACATTGCTGAGGGAATGAAACCAAATCTTTAAAATATAGACAAAAAGTACAAGCAGTAGAAAAAGATAGTAAAGTCAGATAAACTTTTTACTTTTAACATGAATATGGATTACAATACTGTGTTGTAAAACTTTATTTTCAAGGTTTGTATTGCTATAATACCAGATATTTTGATCCTGCCAGAGCCAATCAGATTTCATAAGAACATGAACTTGGTTTGGAGCCAGGAGATAGGTGTAAACATCAGACCTCATTAGATTTTTTTGAACTCTACTGAAATTGAGGTTTATTTCGTGCCATGTATAATTAGACAGTTATTGTAATTATTCCAATTTATTTCACATCGAGACTTTTGCATTGCATCCTTTTAAGACAAGAACTGAAATCTCCTGTGCCCCAAGGCAGATCAAAACAAAATTTGTCATGTCCTATCCATCTAGAGGACAATCAACATTCGTATCTGTCCTCCAATAACAGCCTGATGCCTCAAAGATGGCAGAATTTCAGCAGAACAGAGAATGCCTGTAGATGATATGAGAAAGGAAGAATCTGCATTTTTAAAGGGCCATTTAAACCTACAATAATTCATTTCTAAACTACTTTGTAGGCTGAGTCCATCTTGAAGTGTCTTATGAAAAATGATGCTGCAGAACTGACTGACTGGAATGAATGATTTGGGCGTAAATTATTTCATTACAGTTGAAAGCTTTTTCCATCTGCTGTCCTTGCATGCACAGCCTGTTTCTAGAAGCATTTTTGACAGATTTAAGCTGACTGGGTTTATGTATTTAATTCAGTTGTACACAGCAGGGTAGAGCATCTACAGGCAGCTTCAGAACTCTTAGACCAATGGATCAAACAGTAATAAAAGTATTTTTTCCCAATAAAATCAAATAAGCTGAGGGAAGGTATATATGTTGAGAAAGGAGTTGTAAGTTTGGTTTTTTTTGCATGTATGCTGCTTTCTAGTGTAAATTCTTGTATTTGTGGTCCATTTAGTGTTCTTTAGGGAATTCTAGACCAAAAACTACTTCTTCCCAGGTTTTGACTATTGTGGTCTGTCTTCATCAAACTTTTTACCTTAGTCTCATAAGACCCTTTTCTCCTTCGGTCATTCAAAACACTTAACCCTGCAATTATTGGAGAAACCTTTCATCTTTTGAGGTCTTCAGATGTTTTATTTCTGGTTGTGTTTGTCTGAAATATCTTGATGAATTTTTTTTCAACAACCCATGTTGTTCTGACTTTTGAAATCATATTCAGTTTGGGTAGGTGGTTTCTTAAAAAAAATACCATAGATCTGCACTACATTTTTGTCTTATTGTCATAGTCCACTTTATATTCTCTGGAAATTTGTGGAGTAGTGAAAGGCAAGTAGTGTCTCTGTAACTGCAAGGTAATACATTTTTCCTGGAAATCTTAAAATGGGATATACATGATCACTTCCTCTCAATTAATAATGAAAACACCATATATTCTTCTTTAAGCCTGTATATTTAATACTTTTTACTTAATTTAATAACAAAACTGATCGTAAAACAAATGTGCTATGTGTCCTGCTGACACATATTTTTCTATTTGGGGAGAGGATACTGGTCTTCTCATAATCAGTATATCAAGATTATCCATAAAATACTGTAGAATAATTTCAGACTGGGAAGGAGCAATAGAGGATTTTTGAGAATTTAGGGGTTAGACAAAAGAAGTATAAAGGTAGTAATGCTTGACCAGATTTAAATGGTTACTTCTTATGGGCATTCACTATGACAATGTGATATATAATTGTCATTAAAGAAACTGATCAGCAGTCTTCAGGTTTTAAAAGTTACATGAAAGGAAGTGTACTTTCTGAGATTAACATATGCAATGAGGTGCAGCGATCACGTTTTAGCTCTTAACGTCTTAAGAAGCTTTTAAGCTCGTAAGCAAAGTCAGGGTTGGCTTCATGGTCTATTGTTAATAAATTGTTCTGTTGAAGTATCCCATTCAAATACTCTAAATGGTTGCTTTGCAGGGAGATATATCTCCTTATTTAATATCCTTCTGAAATCAGACTGGTACTAGAATGATTGGAAGGGGCAGAAGATGAGATTCCAGAACTATTTTTGCACTGCTCTTATTCTGAAAACAGAGCTGTGTAGAAACTTGGACACTGTGAAAAGGAAAGGTTTTCTGGTGCAGAAGTAACAGTGGACACAACAGCAGCTAAACATTGTTTCATGCTTGGTATTGTCTTAGAAAAATGTATAAAAGCAGGACTAGATTAAAAGTGAGTGTACTACAAGAAGAAAGAGAAATGCACATATCACTTAATGGTACAAGAATTTTGGATTGTAGTACAAACTACAGTAATCACCCAAAGCATTTTCTCTCTTTCCAGTAGAGTAGGACACCTGTTAACATACTGACAGGCACAGTGGGGCCACGTGTGCTCTCTAGAATGTTGTTTCCCCTATCGTGCTGACCCTGGTCCACCAATGCAACAAAGGAAAAGCTCATTCCTGTCTTATCTCTGGGTCCTTTTCTTAACTTTCTCTTCTGGCAGTTTGATAATGAAGCACAATCTGCCTTCAGATCACCTATTGCTCATGGAAACTTTATTACCAATACATCTCACAGTCTTCATCACCAGTACTGATACCCGAACAACATCTTATCAAACAAGGAATGAGGCAGAGAAAATGAATTTGAGTAACAGATAAGAAAACAAAGGAGTGGGTCACAATTATTCACAAATTTCATAAGCACAAGATCTGAAGGAGTGTGAAGCAGCAGCCTATGAGGAATCATGGAAGCTCCACCTTCAAGGGACAATATATCACTTCAAATGGTATTATACTGTGAGGAGAGGGGAGCATACAAATAAATAGGTTTTGTTCTGATAATTCATGATGTTTTCAGTCCATAACAAGAGTTGAGGACAATAACAGCAGTAATCTTTCATTATAGCCCTGTTAATTACATCAAACAATAAGCCAAAAGCATTAACCTCTTCATGATATGCTTGTCAGGCCCTTTTGCCTTTGATTAAGTATAGTTGGAAGGACAGTTGTGCTGGATCAGGTGGCAAACCTGTCTATCTTCAGAAATTAGAAACAAAGTCATGCAAACCAAGACTGACAAAGTTATCACAGCAGTTTATCTCTTGTACAAACCAACTATTACTGCTTTTTCACAAAGTTCCTCCCTGAGTATCAGAACATGATATGAAGTTTCTTCAGTGAAGATCCACCATGACTGCATGAGAAAAATGAATTACCTGCTGAGCCATTTGTCACACAAGGGCTCAATTGGAAGGAAAATTCTGATTCCGTGGTCTTTCTTTTAAATCCATTCTCTGTTTTTCTTTTGGTTTTCTTTCCTTTTTTTGTGCAGTGTCTTATAATGTGGACTTTAAAAAATTACAGGCAAAGAAACTTTTGTATATTGTCGTTTCTCCTCTTTTCTAACGCTAAATCTTCTTACAAGGCTGCTACAAAGGAAAATTGCACTCAATGGCAACTGAAGTAAAAATCACATCTGCCCCAAAACATGTACTTTCTATCTACAAATCTATCCATTTTTTTTAATCAGTACTAATTTTACATTGTCAATTCCATTACAGTGGCTTGCTTTTGTCATGGAAATTATGATTAGTAGACTTATATTACATTTAAGACATGTTTTCACACATGTTTCCACAGCCCTCAGGGCAAAACACCCTCACCTACTTCTTGGCTTACTTTTATTTCATTTTGTGAAAATTAGACTGGCTAAAGTAAAAGTTGAGAGAAAGACTGTCTTCTCTCTCTCTCTCTTTTTGCCCTCTCTTCAAAGAGCTTATTACTTAAAACATTTACTAGTTCTTAGTCACAGTAATGTGGTGGAAGTGAGCTCAAGCTGTATCATGTGACAGTGAAATAAATTGCTGAATGCTCCATCATCCAAGTGATCAAATAGCAAAAAGTTTGTGTAGAAGGTCAGCACTTTGTCTCCCAGTACTTCCATGAGGACTTGTGTATACTCTGAATCTGATGGTCAACAGATGTCATTTGTGAGTCCAAAAGGAGTAAAATATGATAATAGTTTACTCAAATTGGGCACATATCTTAGAGTAGAATTCTAAGGACTTCCGAAGGAAAATTGAGTAACTGAGAGATTTTTAGGAGCTTATGTGGGCATCTTGAAAAGTGTCTAGTTTAGGCTAGGCTCCTACATTTAAGCTGGTTAAAACTAAGTGAGATGAACTCAAACCACTAGCAATTGTAAGTGGGAGTTGAAGTTACATGCTAGTTTGTTCTGTGAGTCAGGCCAAAGTGCCTGTTATGACTAAGGAAGTTATTTGAGACTTTCTAGGGGCTAGATCACTGGAGACTTACTCAAAAGTAAGTCACATTCTCATCTAGCTGATGTCAAAGACACTCCTGAGAAAGGTCAAAATCTTGACTGACTCTTCAGTTTATCAGTTCCACACCACTCTCATATTATCTTTGTAGTACAAGAGGACGATTCCTCATTAGTTAAACTGGCTGTCTTGGATTAAAGCTTAGTTGTGGAAGGGAGGTCCATCATCAGCTAATTTGTTTGTCTGCCTGGCAGGCTATTATTTTGCTGTGGAAAAACCTTAAGCCCACAGTATAATGGCATTACTGTCTGGTATTCGTAATTCTAGCCACACAGTCCTCTTTCTTCAGAATTCATCTGCTCATTATTTGCTGAAGCCAACTTTATTTTTTCTGCAAGATGCAACAATAAGTAAACAACATATGTTGTTGATTCAAAGAATTAACAAAAGAGTGGTTTTTTCCTGCCCTAAAATCCTGTCTGCTGAGTGTGTGTGATATACTTGCTGCCTTCACTAATTTATCCTGCTTCTAGATGTTTGCATTCAGAAGCTGAAAAGGGCTTAGATGTTAATTGCACGTGTATTTTGAGTCATGAATTTATCCTTCTAAATATATCTTATATACACTTACAGAAATTCCTTTTTTTTTTTCTTATTCTATCAGTCATAAAAACAGCGCTAGTACAAACATTTGTCTTGATCTTTAGGAAACTATTGTATATAGCTCTGTAAGTCAAAGTTCCTATTTTTCTGCACTGGAGTATGATTTCATCCCTGGATTAGTGACACTGTGTTTAGTATACATGACTTATGTGTGCTGTAGCAGCAGTCAGCATCTGAAGCCTGCTCTTACTGACATTGTTTTCAGTTGAGCAGAATTGTTAACTCAAATGTCATTGCTCTTACCTGCAAGAAGGAATCCAGGCATATTATAAATGTGATAGTGGAAACCAGCTTTTGTGTTATGCCCAAACCCATATTGAAGATCTTACTGTCAAAGTCTATAAAGAACATTTTGCTGAAAGACTTTAGTGGATTTGATAGCCCTTTTCAGTCAGTGAAAGTAAATGTGTAACTTTATTGTAAGCTCAGTCCTTCCCATTAACCTTACCCACCCACCCAGTTTGCAGAAAAGCCTCTGACTCACATTTTTACTAATATCCTCCAGCTCTTATTTTGTCTAAATTGTTCTTTGGCTTAGAAGACCATTTATGTCAGCGTAGTGTTTGTGCATGTGTTTTTCTAAACCTCTATTCACAGTAGTATTTACGTAGACAACTACAAATAAATATCAGCAAATATAATTTGTAAATAGTCATCCAGACAGGAGATGGAGCCATGTGAGACTTAGCTGGCCAATCAAAAAGTGGGATGAGCAATGAGTCAAATGAATATTCAGACTGAGAAGCTGGCAAACATCAGAATCTGAGAAATCACCTAATCAAAACCAGCAAATAACTAAAAACTGAAGAATCATACAAATATCTCATTTAGTAAAATCAACCTATGCCCTGACTTTTCACAATCACTTTTCTAAAATCTCTTTCTAAAAACTTACTTTCTCAGTGCTCACCGTTGTGCTTATTAACCTGGTAAAATATTGTCATGGCTTTATAGTGTATACTTTTCTTCTTCTAGCACCAGAAATTCCTTTATTGCAAAACATCTCCTTCCAGATACAGCTGAGAACAATGTTTATGCAAGATGCACTGCAACAATTCAAACCTGTATAATACAACATACAATTCATTATATTTTGTTCTCTGTGCCTGTGTGAATAAGGTAGTAGTAAAAGGAGGTGTTATATGTTTAGCATTTATTCTTCATGTACTGATGGAGACACATATCTATATCCAGTACTCCTAAACTATAACTATGAATTGTTAAAATTATTAAAATAGACAAAAATTATACTATCTCTTTATTTAGCTCCCTTTTTCTTTATCAAGTACTGATACACATTCTACGTAGTACTGTGAAGTAAAAACAAAGATATATGTCAATAATTATAGAAAGATTTCACTGTAAAATTTCCAGAAGAAAGACAAATAATGAGATAATAAATATAATAAAAAAATATTTTGCAGGTTTTTTTCTTTTTAATGGATGTTCACTGACAGGAACATTTTAAAATGCAACTTATAGTAGGATAAATATAAGCATGCAATACTCAAAAGCATATAAAAAGTCTGCAAATTAATAAAAAATGCTTAAATCTAATGGTGCTAATGCAAAGAAAAACAGAGAATGACAATACTATCTCATATGTCCAATTTAATAAACTATTCCACATCTTCAAAGTGTGTTTACAGATGATGTACACACTAAATAGTATTCATTTAAATTATACTGTCTTCAGGTAGGAAATAATTATTTTAAATATATATTCTCTGGGGACACTGTGCATTTAAGCTATGCATACCTATTTGCAAAGAATTCTGTCAATTGTTTGCACCATAATGTCTGCATTTCATTGTCTCCATCTACTCAATTATTTCTAATCTTTTCTGACATCTTGTCTGTGAAGACCTGTCTGAAATAAGGCATCTGCTTCTGATTAGAATCAGTTGTGATTTACACATATCAACTTCTAATCTTGCTTTAGTCACTGGACCTTCGTGTGGTCACTAGTCCCTACTGGCTGAATGATTTCTAATTTGATTATCCTGCATTAGTCACCATCTACCAGATGTAGACATGAAAAATTTCCCAGTAGGTTTATAAAGTCATTTATGACAGGAAGCAATTTTTCAATGCATTCATCACTTCTGTCTCCATCACGCCATTTCTTTCAACAAAGGGTTTTTGAAATATAATACCAAAAAAGGTGAAATCATACAGCTCCATCTACAATTGTGATGATGATTCCTCCCACTTTTCAATACAGCCTAAGCTCAGCTGGGTTGTTCATTGAAAAGCTAGTCTTTTCTAAACCATTTATATACTTCTGTATATTTCTGTTTTTGCTTGTAATTACCATTAATCATTATATTTGTGAATATATTAAAATTCAGTGTTTGTTCTCTGTCATGAATTATTCATTTTTAGTGGTATGTGATTACTTGCCAACCATACTGTGCTAACCACATTGTATTAGCACTGTATCAGTTGCTAGTCACATTACATCTCTTTTTTATTACTGAGCTAAAAAAAAGGATAGACTAATGAATAACAAAACTCAGATTTTTTATTAGTAAATTCATGTCACTGAGACAGACAGCTTCCTGTAAGGGAGTGCCTTTACTAGAGCAGCTGAGATAGTTTGAATAAACAGGATTTTCAACATAGAAGCCTTTCTTCAGGTATGAAATGGTACAATCCTCAAAGCCAGAAGGATGTTGCTCCAGGGTTTACTAAACATGTGAATTAGACATGTGGGGAGAAAATATAGTTAGTAGCTGTGAAACAAAGAAAAGGGAGGAGGTATCTGCATAGCTGCTAAGTTGGCTAAGTTATATGAGAGAATAAAGAGATAAAGAGAGGCAGGTGACTTACTGTCCCACAGACACTGGTAGGCTATTCATGTGAAATATTCATTTTCCAAATAGCTATGAGAGGTAAAACCAAACACAACATAAAACCTGAAAAGTATAGGCAATCATGGGATGCAATTAAAGCTGAAAAAATTGGAATAAAAGATATCTTTATGGTCATTCTTCATCAGGTTTTAGTCAGCATATCATTTACAGACTTTATGATCATTAGATTAAGAGCAATTTTTAAATTTTTACTTTTTAACATGGGCTAGAACCACAGATTATAAGAATTTAAAAAATGTATTTTTCTGGGGAGTCATCTTAATGGTTTTTTTAGGGAGCAGTAATGTTCAAGAGGAGAGTCCCTCTGGGCAGAGGAGCCATCACATGATCTACCCATTCATGGTTTGACAAGATCTACAGTTTATTTTGAAACAGATCTCTGTGTGGAAATAAATTATAATCTGGGAATAATGATAATCTGTGTTTTATTATTGCTCATGACTGTAACATTTTGATTTTCAATTTTATATTTAAATCTATCCTGGCTCTTATATTCAAGTCATGGTCCAGAAAGGATCAGTGATTGCATGTGTGTG